CCTGTCATCCTGTGTTGGTGTTCTGTGAAAGATGGTGTATCCTGTCATCCTGTGTCGGTATACTATGAAAGATGGTGTATCCTGTCATCCTGTGTTGGTGTTCTATGAAAGATGGTGTATCCTGCCATCCTGTGTTGGTGTTCTGTAAAAGATGGTGTATCCTGTCATCCTGTGTTGGTGTTCTGTAAAAGATGGTGTATCCTGTCATCCTGTGTCAGTATTCTATGAGTGAATGGTGTATCCCGTCATCCTGTGTCGGTATACTATGAAAGATGGTGTATCCTGTCATCCTGTGTTGGTATTCTATGAATGAATGGTGTATCCCGTCATCCTGTGTCGGTATACTATGAAAGATGGTGTATCCTGTCATCCTGTGTCGGTATTCTATGAATGAATGGTGTATCCTGTCATCCTGTGTCGGTGTTCTGTGAAAGATGGTGTATCCTGTCATCCTGTGTTGGTGTTCTGTAAAAGATGGTGTATCCTGTCATCCTGTGTTGGTATTCTATGAATGAATGGTGTATCCTGTCATCCTGTGTCGGTATACTATGAATGATGGTGTATCCTGTCATCCTGTGTCGGTATACTATGAAAGATGGTGTATCCTGTCATCCTGTGTCGGTATTCTATGAATGAATGGTGTATCGTGTCATCCTGTGTCGGTATACTATGAAAGATGGTGTATCCTGTCATCCTGTATCAGTGTAAAGCAGAAACACCTTACTGCATATTTGCCATTTTGTTACAGAGAGTATTTTAAAAAGTGTACTCAAGGGGTACAATTTAATAGCATTTTTCCCTGCTTCATCAAGGACACCTGCGTAAGTGATAGCAACTTTTCCCTTTCTTTGGTTTAACAGCATGTGTCTGGAAGAGGGTCCAAGTAGTGCAGTTGGACGCCCTTGCCTTCCCTCGAGGGAAAGCAACAGCAGGTCTTACCATTCCTCACTTCTGCACCACTAGTGCAGATGCCAACGTATTAAAGAGACAAGTAATGTCTTTTAGTATTATTATTAAAAAAAAAAATTAAAAAAAGCCAGAGATCCAAATAATGTCTTTTATTATTATTATTATTATTTTTTTGTGAGAGACTCTTACTATGTTGCCCAAAGTGGAATGCTCACAGCAACCTCAAACTCAGCTGTCACAGCTCACAGCAACCTTAAACTCAGCTGTCGCAGCTCACAGCAACCTCAAACTCAGCTGTCGCAGC